CAGGGATATTATCGTACTCCAGATATCGGCTATGTCTGGGGCGAGAACACAGGCCAAATGTTTTTTTACTTCACACAGGGTGTGACAGCCGCCGAAGTTGAGATTGACACACTAACCGGCGATTGGACTCCGCTACGTGCAGACATCAAGATGGATGTCGGCCGCACTATCAATCCCTCTATCGACTACGGACAGATAGAGGGAGCCTTCATCCAAGGTCAAGGTCTCTTTACGACCGAGGAAAGCCTCTGGCATCGTGCCTCAGGCCAGGTTGTCACTAAGGGGCCCGGAAACTACAAGATTCCCGGGTTTCGAGACATTCCCCAGGTTTTCAACGTTAGCCTTCTCAAGGATGTCGAATGGGAAAATCTTCGTACAATCCAACGATCTCGTGGTGTCGGTGAACCACCACTTTTCATGGGAAGTGCTGTGTTCTTTGCTATCCGCGACGCTCTGAAAGAGGCACGGAAGCAGTACAATGTTCACGAGGTCCTCAGTCTACGAAGTCCGGCTACCCCCGAACGGATTCGGGTCAGCTGCGCTGATCCCATTATCGAACGGGCAAGAGTCCTGCCTAAGGAGGGAGAGAAGAGCTTTTTTGTTGAGATTTAAACATTCCTATGTTACTACGCATTTTAATCATTTGTATCATTTTCCAATAAATTCTACAGCGTCATGATTTAGCTATGAAATTGAGTTGAGAAAGAAAGCCCTTCACGAATGTATCCACTGCTATATAGAATGTATGGTATCTGTTCTGTTCCTTGAGAAGGTGCATACGTAGTTCTACTGCATCTACACTATCCAAAAAATTTGGTATTCGTACAACTACACGGCTCAGGTATCATTTAATATGTATTTAGTGATCGACAAAGAACAGTGAGAAATTATGCCAAGTGCCTGCGCATCTATATGGTCTTCAAATAAAATAAGAAAGGAAAGACACGACTTCGCTTGTGGATATACCCGTATATCCAACGCCGACCTGAACTGTATTTAACAGAAGGGAAAGATCAAAAAAGAAAGACAAAGTCGCTGGTACAACAATCGTAGCTACTGCGTGTATCAACGTTTCTCGATTCCATATTCAATATAGCTACTTCCACGCAGATCAGATGTCCCATCAACCTTGAGTGCCCTTTGGCCAGCGTATCCCATCTTTTCATCTTCATGGAAATCACCGACGACGGGTGGGGTATTCAGGGCGACTTCATACCGAGGAGCGGGTTGCGAGGCGGCCTTTGTATTGGGAATAGCAGTCAGTGGGACCTCGGTGAAGCCGTTGACATCTGGGTTATTGTTTATGGGGGCGCCACCACCCTCGCCGCGGTTTTTGTCCCGTCCCCAGAAAAGGATCATAGCGCGGATGAGGCCAAAAAGAAAATTAATGAACCATATGCCCAGTACGCAAGCCGATATTATGGTTTCTATCCGGATGCCTTCTTTGATATTATTGAGGACACGCATGACAACTTCCGTGATTTTGTCGGACGTCGTGTCACCTGGGTTGGCGAGGAAGCTGTCGGATGCGCTTGTACTGTTGTTGATGCTGCTGTCAGCACCCTTTGAAAGAACATCGTTGGGTACACGTGGGAAGTCAACGTGAGCATGGTCATGGACCCAGGTAAGGCCTTTTTGGACAGATGCCACCTTGAGACCGATCAAGCAATTGAAGACGTCCTGCAGGGGGCTATACAGGATGGTGCCTCCGAACGTGTCGTTGAGGACTCCTGTTGTCTTGTCGACGAAGGCGTTCAAAGTATCGTTCACGGCTGTTGTACTAGTGTTTACCCAGCCGAGGACGTTCCTGTTGATATCATTGCTCATGCCGTCGATGACTCCGTTGGTGTCGTTCGCCCATTTGGCGGACGTGTTTTGTAAAGAAGTGACCACTTTCTCAGCAAACTCGCCGACTTCGCTAGTTAGTTCCGGTACTGTCCTCTCAACAGCCTTTAGTAGCAAATACTGGCAAAGGCAAGCGAAGAGCCCCGCAAGGGCGAGGCACAGGACGAATAGAGCGGCCGGTGAAGTTGCGTATGCAATGGCCCACCGCACCAATATTTGCCTGCGACTATTGCTGAACCTGCTTGCCGCTTTGATACCTGCACCCGCGGTGTAAGGGCGGGAAACAATGTAGACAACATCCATCGGATCATGCGCATCCTTTCGGACAATCTGAGAGCGCTCTTTCATAGTGCGCCAACGACGTATCTCCTGCCAAGCTACCGGAACACAAACAAGAGTTGCAGCGATGATCAGAACAGCGAGGAAGATCTTGCGAGCAGCTACGATGGTTTCAGCAACCTTTTTGAAGAATGTATTGATCCCATTGTTCTCGTCACAGAAGGTCAGCTGTTCCTTCGCAGGAACAGGTAACGCTGAGCGCTCGAAGGTGTAATTGCCCAAAGACCCATTAATGAGGCTCTTGACTTCTTCAAAAGGAAGCTTCAAGACGTCGGTGACAAATTTGTCGACCTCATCAAACGTTGGGATGGAACTGTTGATCTTGTCGATAGTGTCGTTGATTGATCCTGGGAGGTGGATGTCCTTCAACTCGTCCACGCTCTTTGAGATGTCAAGCTTCGGCACTTCTCCACCGAAAGCGCTCGCAACTTTATTGATTCCACTCAAAAATTTGTTCAGGCCAGATTCAAAAGTTTCGACAGCCTTACCGATGTCCTCACCGACCGTTTGGACTGTCTTGTTTAAGAATTCGGTGGTATCTTCTATCACGCCGAGCGCAGCTTGAGTGCTGCCTCTGACAACCATCGTGAATAAGCAGAGGTACGTTTGATACATCACTTTGATAAAAAAGATTATCAGCGCTTCGACTCCAGTGATCGTGAGCAACAGCATAGATATGAGGCCGTTAACCGCTGCCTCAACACTAGAGGCCGTAAGCTCATTCACTCCCTGGGACAGATAATGGGGCATTGAAGCCATCGAACTCCCCATCGTCTCCACTGACGTGCAGGCAGATTGGGCTTCGCGCTTAGCTACGTCCATGTCTGACTGCATCCCAGCTGCCGCTATCAAAACTCGGACTAGGACAAGGAGCAGCAAGATCGTCCAGCGGTTGAGCCACACTTGTGATAAACGAGCTCGCAATCCCAGATATGGTGTAATACCATCGGGGTGCAGTGGTACGGCACGTCCAGGACCGCCATTTGGATCATGCGCGCCATACGGCGGGAGGAGCGGGAAAATAGATCGTCCAGACTTTGAAAACACCATATCGACGGAGTGAATTGGAGTATAGAGGTGGGGTCTGAAAGAGACTGATGCCTTCTGGATGGCACAGGCAGGACAAGATACGTTTGAGCAGTGGTGTTGACAAGTCCGTGGACGGGATTGTATTATTCAGGAACGAAAGGTAGTTGTATATCAAAGAGTAAGTGCCGGCCAGCAGCAACCTTTTCCAGTTGAACAGGGGACAGATTATAGGAGAGCCATCACACAAAGTTGTATATACTGCTAATTGTAGAAGAGGAATGGGTGCAGTGACAAGGGAAACGTGTTGGTGTTATGCATAGAATAGGGACAATAGCTCAATATAACGGGTCCAACAATAAAGAAGAGGCCCACCTTTTTATTATTCTTGAAAGGTCAAGCGATCGCCTGGGAATTTTGCAAAACAAGCAAAGCAAAATAGTGAATGGACTGGGGGGGGGTAAAAGCCGTCTTTGGGCGTTAACAGACGGCGACGTCCACCCGGGGGCATGGCTATACGGACCACTCATAATCCGTAGGCATGAAAATAGAAGCCTACCGACACGGGGATTAGCAGAAGTTTCTGCAGAAGTTTGTTTCACTTTGTGCATGATTAGTGGGCGGCTCTTCTCAGTGGTTTCTGCAGAGCGCTGGCAAAAACCAAGATTTCCTCAGGCTGGTACCCTCGAAGCCGGCGCTTAGAGTCCCTGGTCTGTCCACCAATCCTTTATTCCCGGTCAACCGTTGCCAAACAATGCGAGATGTTTCTTCTAATAAAAGACTTAGTCTCCCCATTATGTGGAGCAATGGGTCAGGCATGGATGAAGACTTTGCTTGTTGCCTTGCAACACTTCTCGTTCCATCTCGCGCTAGGGTGCCAACGACTGGACTGCGTATTAACAGACGAACTGGATGCAAATTAGCCGCCCTTCATTTCTGTGCACAGGCCTGGTGTCATAGATGAGACTCTAGGGCTGGTAGAAGTTGATAAAAATAAATCTGAGAACAGTGGTAGTAGATCGTGAATGGAAAACTTGAGAAAGCGAGCGGGGGGAAAGACTGGCAAATACTCTTATGTATTCAGCCACACGTGATGGGCACTCTGGAGTCTTACATGTTTTGAGAGCTACAAAAGAAACTCCAATTTTTGACAAGCTAACGTATTTATATACTAGGCGAAGCGTTCTCCAGACATCCTTCCGTATGATATGCGACAGTCACAGAGAAGTCGGTACATCATGGTCAGGGCTCATAAATTAGTTCTCTAGATACCTGAGGCGTATATGATTGCTCCAGCAAGGAGATCCTCTACACTGGCCAACCTGGACAAAAGAGTTAGTGCAGAGGTTAAACTATAGAAAGTAATATGGGCAGTCTATATAGGCCATGCCACGGTCACCTTTGTCGCCATTGTTGTTGCATGAATGTGAAAGAGCAGAAACTATACAGTTCATCAACACGGTCGCCATGGACGCAGTTTAAGGCTCGGCAACACAAGCAAAAGAAATGATTTCCTTCATGACATCAGTCATAGCAAGCACTCATTGAAACATCTATCTCAGGGGGGATGTAAAAGACCACCGTTGGGACGATTATGGTCTCCATCAATCTCTAGGACTACCATAGAGAACTTCTGTGATATACAATTGATCTTAACCCTAACAAAATGTACTCAATCACCTCTCTTTAGAGTTACCTATCACCTAACACCTCTTGGGACATTTTATTTACTCTGTTGGTTTTCCCTCTTTTTGAATCCCCATTTGAGGATGTGCGAAGAGCTTGTCAAGATGGAATTACCCCCAGGCTCTTCAGATCTGGTTGCTTATCCAGACAGTAAGGTGGACATTGGAGACCAAGAACAATCTCCAGAAGAGAAATCCTTGCCAGGGGACATAGACTCAATAGGAGACGCAATCTCTTTACGTGGGCTTAAGGAAAAGGCAGGTCGGCAGGAAGTGCAGCAACTGAACGAGATTTCTGACTTCACTGTCACTGACTCTGACAAAAACGTGACAACAAACACAAGCCAGGAACCTACCCCTATGACTACTTCTTCTCCTTCTTCTCCTAAGGACGAAATGGTTCTTTGTTCTGGTCAGTTTATCTCCTGTGACTTGACTTTTCCCTATTTGTTCTGACCCCTCTGGCTCTGTATGGATACAGGAGTGCTAACCAGAAGTCTTACAAAATAGAAGTAAACTACCAAGAGGCCTTGGAGAAGAAGAAGATCCGTGCAGAAGCTATTACTTTCCTCCGTGCTCGGGCGCAGGCGCGTCTGGCCCGGTTGGACGCATTGTCTGAGGAAGTTTTGCTAAGCCGAACGAGCGAGCAGTATCAATACCACCCCAACGAGCGTAACAGCGTGTCAATCTCTCCCCAGGTCCTTGCCGAACCGAGCATTACATCTGCCGTCAAGATGGAGCCAGTCCAGGCAGCTAAGAAAAAGAAGACGAAGAGCAAGAGGATGCCTAAGACGCGAGTGCCTCTTGATATGAGAAACACTGACTCTCCCAACAATCACACGTTGAACCCGGCTAGTCTAAGTGTGCGTGTGTTGAATGTGCAGCCCTTACGCAAGGAGGCAACTCCTAGTGATGCCCCGTCTTATTCGACTCGATTTCAGGATCTGTCGGAGCCCAGCCCATCCCCATGCTGTCAGGAAGCTGATCTCAAGACTGAACATTCCGACTCTACTGCACCGGGAAAGGACTTCGCAGCCCCTTCTGCGACTCAATATGAGAACCGATTGCAAGTCGAACACAAGGATACGACCGATTGTCACGAAGGTTACTCGACGGGGCAGACCTACCGGGATGCACTTCTAGGTACAATGGATCGCAGAGACAAAAGGCACGTCTCATGTACAGATACGGCGACAAAAGGTGGCATAACAGAGCACAACGGTGCGCTACATGCACATCCAACCCCGCTCGCAATCGAAGAGTGGCCGAGTATCACTGGAGGTACACCTGCTGAGAGAGATACACGTGATACAAGTCCCAAGGCTGCTTCCTCGATCGATTTAGGACAAGATGAGGAGGTACCAAGCGCAGGATCTTCCACCTGTGCTCAGCCATCGTACAGTGGTCACCCTACACGCAAAAATAAGGCTTCTTCAAAAGAAAAGCTACCTCCTATACAAGAAGTGATAAGTGAGACGTTTCAGGGTTATGCACATGTAAAACCGCCCTCTCCTCATACTGAGCGAGGTAGCATATCTGGCGAGATTCAAAGTCACCTTACATGTACACCAAAGTCCTCAAAATCTACCTCCACAGGTTGGACCAGCGCCGAACCTCAGGGCACGCCACAGACCGAATCCTCTGAGATCGAAGCCACGGAAACCAAGAACCACCACCAGAAGATCTTCACCGAGACAGGAACTGTTGTGATCTCCCAAACAAAGAGCAGCCATGCACACCCCTCGTCATCTTTGAGCCTTGAGAGACCAGGTCGATGTACCACAACCGCGCAAAAGTACATATCCACCCAGAAACCAGAAGGATTTTTCTGGCAGCTCGATAGTCATGGATTTCCCTGCGCGAAGGCAGGATGTGAAAAGCGTTGTAACTTATGGGATGGTGCAACTGTCATCTGCCCTCGATGCGGGCCATTCTCTGAAATTCGTTATTGCTGCAAAGAGCACCTCCTGGAAGACATAAAATATCATTGGCTATACTGCGGACAGATGACTTTTGAACATCCTTGCCGAGAGAATTCGATCCCCGGGGATGTGCGAGATGGGCTACCCTTGGTTCCTTGTCTACACCCTTATGATACACCTGAACGTCATCGTCAGGCCGTGTATTTCAATGCAGAGGTTCGTGAGGGGGATTATTTCATCTTCTCAGACTGGACCGATCTGGTGAAAGCCGGCTTCCCAGAGAGCAATGTCGAGGTGCGGTGTTCAAGTCAAGTCATCTATACCATTAGGTTCGAAGATGCAAGTGAGAAAGACCGGTTTCGTCGTGCTCTAGCGACATGCCTCTTCAGTACGTCGACTTCCTTGATCTACCATTGATACTTACTAATCACCTATTTCCTTGCAGTGACAATCGAAGTTACCGAACTTGTAGATTTTCTATTCCGGCTAATTCGAGACAAACTCCGATCACAGACCGCCCCCATAGAGCTTGAAGCCACGCTCAAGTATCAATTTCAACAAGAATTCTGCGTGACCATACAGCCACATATCACCGGAGAGAGACACGCCTGTGTGACGGATTGGGATGGAAGGAACCGCCGTAATTGCCAGGATGCTATCTGCAGAGCTGAATACCGTCGTTTGCTTGGATCCCTTGGGGGAAAGGGTCATTGTCAGCTCATTGATCACTTGGAAGGCAGTTACTGGATTCTTCGAGCGGCAAGAACCACCCATCCGGATGTAACTGATGCCAAAGCGCGTATGTGTGGAGAGGGCTTCAGCGACGTCGCGGATGAAGATAGAAGAGAGTTCCGCCGGGGCGCAGGATGGGATGGTGCTGGGACTGGGGATATGGAGATCGAGGGATTCAATGATGATTGACTAGTTCTTCATCCAGCGAAAGGGTTTGGACCACACCGCCGCAGTCTAGAGTCTGGAACTCTAGAGGCAGCTGCAATAGCCGACACCCTGTTCCAGGTTTGTTTTTGGTGATCCCTTCCATCCTTCTCAAATCGATCTTTTATTGATCATTCTTCAGAAGTTTCAAGAAACAGCTAATACTCTGGAAGTCGGGGAAGTTAATAGAAGAGAAGTTTAGGGACTGCTTGATGCAGGTCGTTGAAGAACTTGGGACTGTCGGACAAATGCCAACCACATCAACGAGAAAAAATAAATAAAGAAAGAAACAAAAAAGAAAAGAAAGAAGAGCCATTGTGGCCATCTCATCCAGAGTTCCCTGTTAACATTCTCTATGTAATCTAAGACCATAAATCTAGCAGGGATAACTCATACCATTATGGCTCTCTGTTCTATGGCTCAACAAAAAGCTTTTGCACTAAGCATAACTTCACTGTACAATATACTTCTTCAAACCACGCAGCCTCTCCTTGGCGGTCTCCAAAACATCATCATTCTTGCATACGGCAAACCGGAGATAATCCTCCGCGATGTGGGAATTGGCGTCAGTATAGAACTCGGTTGGAGGAATGGCCGCAACGCCAACCTCATGAATGAGGAACCAGCAAAGCTTGAAGTCGCGGGGGCGGCTTGCAACATGAGGAGGGAACGGGTAATCTTCCGGCAGCTTCACTGAAGACATGTTTGCGAGAACAAAGTAGCCACCCTCGGGGTCAGAGTACTAGTGCCATTTGTTAGGGATCATTCAAAACAGTTTATGGCTCGAGATTTTTTATTTCATTCCAACATACCGGAATGTTAAGTTCGTCAAATATCTCACAGAAGCGCTCCATCTTCTTCTTCATTTCGGTGCGGCTCTCATCCCAGAAGCCAGCCTTGTCGGCTTGCTCAAAAGCCACAGCTGCAGCTTCTTGAAGGGGAGACACGCTACTGTAGCAGATTCGAGTGTGTGCGCCAGCCACGTACTTGATCAGATGCTCAGGGCCAATGAGGTAACCAACCCGCCAGCCAGTAGCGTAGAAGGCCTTCCCAGCCGAACCCACGGTGAGAGTGCGCTCGTAAAGCTCAGGCGACAGTGTAGCAATCCTAGTAAAAGGAACATAGTAGAGACGGTCGTAGACCTCGTCAGAAAGAATGATGAGATTGTGCTTGATACAGAGTTCGCCGATTTTCTCAAGCTCATCACGAGAGAAAACCTTTCCTACAGGGTTGTGGCTGTTGTGGCCATCAGTAGTTTGCTAAGGTATGGTCACTAGGGGCAGTAATGCTCACGGCGAGTTCAAAACCTAATGAGTCAGATGGAGAAATGTATCGAGGAGGATCAAGAAAACTCGCTTACAATCATTCTAGTCTTGGGGTTAATAGTCTTCTCCAGCTCTTCGAAGTCTATAGACCATTCCGAAGCTGGCGAAGTCCTTGTAGCTCCATCCTTGGGAGGGTGAAGGGGGACATATCGAATGGTACCTCCGGGCATTTCGATGTTGCTGATGTATCTGTTCTTGGGTGTCAGGCATACGCAAGTTGTTATACCGTAGCGCACTCACTGGTCAAAGAAAGGTTCAAAGATGATAACCTCATCACCAGGTTCAATGAAGCCCATAAAAGCACTTAGCATCCCTTTGAATTGTCAGTCAGGTAAAACCCAAGCCGCATCACACCATGACGGCCATTACCTTCATTTGCACCCGTGGTGATCGTAACCTCGGTATCCGGGTTGAGCTTTCGGCCGAAGGATGGAGAATACGCATCCGCAATAGCTTGCTTGAGGCGAGGACGACCCTGTGACGAAATGAGCCGGAGTTTGGGTGTATCAGTGCCCTTCGATCATTTTCGTACCTTGGTCGGGGAGTACTGGTTACATTCAACTTTGTCGAGAGCCTCCTTTGCGGCATCAATCGCAAACTGAGGAGGGTTGTAGCCACTAGTAGAGGGTATAACATTAGCCAGCCAGGTCACTGCCCGGATCATAAAAATCATACTTACAAGAATCCCTGGCCCATGTTCACGATAGGCTGAACAGGGGAGGCCGCAGCGGCTTCATTGACGATTGACCTGAAAGCCAATTAGACCAACAATACAGCAACAGTTCAGTCCCAGCGTTTATTCCCATACCAAACATCTTGTCTCTGGCCAGCGACCCGTTTCGCCGGGCGAAAAGGGTCCGCACGAGAGGTGGTAGCGGACATTGCTCTGGCGCGGGGATCGAGAAAGCGGGGTGGCGTATGTCTTGAGAACAAGAGTTGTTGTGCTGGAGTCTTGAATCTCGCGATTGCTGTAGAGATGGAAGTCCGATAGCCCGAAAACATAGGTGAAGGGAAGATCGAGGGCCGAAAAAGCGCGGGGGGAGAAAGTAATTTGATGATCCGTCGCAATCGCAGGAATAGTTGACTCCAATCGGCCAAAATGATAGGGTGCCTAAGGCTACTCTTTATGGCGTATGCAGTACGGAGCGCTAGGGCGCAAATTGCGTGCTTGCGCTGATGCTCCATCCTCAGGCATCCAGGCATAGCTCCCCGATTACTCATTGACACGAAACCCCACTCAAATCAATTAATTGGGGAAAACGCGTGAGATCACGCGTCTGGCCATCGTTTGATTGACAGGTTGATTAAATATGATCGGGTTGCTCTGACTCCCAACAACCTGATTTCCGATGTCTCGATGATTCAAGCGCTATGGTGTCTTGTCCAATATGCGGAAACTCAGTATCACCTCTGAAAATCAATGACCATATTGATTCCAATTGTCAAAACTTTATCGATGAACCAACGTCCAGCACTGGGGACCTGACTTTCTCTCAGAAGGCACAGGTCCCCAGCTTTTTCCAACCTACCTCTGCTCGGAAAGCATCCACCCAGCCCAACTCGCACCTCGACTCCTCGCCTTCACAAAGTATTACCCGCAAGAGACCCTCGGCACCTGAAGCGGAAATAGTAACAGGTGGCAACAAGAAGACGAGAAACGATGCAGAACAATCTGTGAATAGGCCAAAAGTGAGCGCATTGCAGAAGGTAGCGCCGTTAGCAGAGCGCATGCGGCCTCAGACTCTTGATGCTGTCTGTGGTCAAGACCTCGTCGGCCCCCACGGCGTTCTTCGCGGGCTCATTGAAAATGACCGGGTCCCAAGCATGATATTATGGGGTGGTCCCGGAACTGGTAAAACAACGATTGCGAGGGTTATTGCTTCAATGGTTGGGAGCAGATTTGTGGAGATCAACAGTACCAGCACTGGGGTCGCAGAGTGCAAGAAGATATTCTCTGACGCCAAGAGCGAACTTAGCCTTACAGGAAGAAAGACAATAATCTTCTGTGACGAAATCCACCGCTTCTCCAAATCACAGCAAGATGTCTTCTTGGGGCCAGTAGAAAGTGGGCAAGTCACTCTTATCGGTGCTACAACGGAAAATCCTTCCTTCAAAGTGCAGAATGCACTGCTCTCCAGATGTAGGACTTTCACCCTGGCAAAGCTTACGGATGAAGATGTCAAATCTATATTGGACCGAGCTTTGCGGGAGGAGGGACCAAAGTATTCGCCTTCTGCCCTGGTAGATGACGAGTTGATCAACTACCTCGCAAAATTCTCTGACGGGGATGCCCGGACCTCCCTTAATCTTCTGGAACTTGCTATGGATTTATCCAAACGCCCGGGGATCACTAAGGAAGAGTTAAAGCGGTCTTTGACTAAAACTCTTGTCTACGATCGTGCGGGTGACCAGCATTATGATACCATTTCCGCCTTTCACAAGTCCCTCCGGGGCAGCGATCCGGATGCCGCTCTGTATTACCTCGCCCGCATGATTCAGTCGGGAGAAGACCCATTGTACATTGCTCGCCGTCTAATCGTAGTGGCATCGGAAGACATTGGTCTGGCAGATAACAGTATGCTCACTCTGGCTATCTCTACCCATTCGGCCGTGGAGAAAATCGGACTCCCGGAGGCGCGGATCAACCTGGCACATGCAACCGTGGCTATGGCGTTAGCAAAGAAGAGTACCCGGTCATACAGAGGTCTCAACAATGCGTTCGCGGCATTGGCAGAACCAGGCATTGCCGGACTGCCGATTCCAATTCATCTGCGGAATGCCCCCACTCGATTAATGAAGGAACTAGGTTATGGGAAGGAGTACAAGTACAATCCGAACTATTTGAATGGCGAGGTAGCACAAGAATACTTGCCTGAGAGACTTCAAGGCCGGAAATTCCTTGAGGATCTCGATCTTGGTCGTCAGGTTGACCCGGACCTCAATGGCCAGCGTTGAGCAGAACGCCCTTATGGACTAAACCACTCACCTTGTCCCCCAAGCTGACGCGTTATGCACATGAGTGCGGCGGCTGAGAATTTTCAGTTGTGGGGGTTGGTGTTAGGAATGAGATCCGTCCAACCCTTATAAGCCAGATACCCACGTTGGCTGTCAGACTACAAAGCCGCTCCAATTGCAGCCTCGACTGTCCCGCATGATGAGTTTCCTATGGTAGTAACTGGGATGGCTGGAAATTCATTCAATGTCAAGTCCATTGATAGACAAACGAATGAACGATTTTGGCGAACCCAGCGCTGACGAAACTACAAGCTCAATCGACACCTACAGAAGAATATGAATCTGGTGTGGGCTAACTGAACCTGATGATAAACAACTCTTAAGATGTAAAGCGTGGAATGTAGATATACAATCTTTCTGTTCGACTGTAAACAAATCCAGTTGGTGTCAGATCTGAATGCGTTGATGTAAAATTCCAATAAATGTAAGAAGTGTCTGTAAACAAAAGATGATTTAATTTACTCCGCGTCACCTTTTTGACTTGGTCGCGTCTCCGCAGCCCGACAACCTGACAGTTAGTTAGGCAATTAAATCCAATCCTTCCAACCATCCCCACAACAACCACACGGTTCAAAACAATTCTCTGGCTGAGTTCACTACAACAAAAACCATTGTCACTCCCTACTCTTATTTCACAGAACATCCACCTTTCTGACAAGTTGATCGTATCCCGTGCTTTTCCACCGGCGATCACCCACTGCGGGATCACCCTCATAACCACCAACCACGACAACGACCACCATGGCGTCGCAAGGGTTTGGCTCGCGCTCATTCGCCTCCACAAGGCTACCTGACCGGTCTATGAACGCTAATCCAACTCCATTCGCCGCGTCCACCTTCTCCCGTCAACGACTAGGGGCCCCAGGATCAGGCGACCAAGGAGCCGACGCAGCGAGGTCCTCGCAACAGGCGCCACAGCCACCAGTCCATTCGCAGACCCACGGCCCTTCACAGGACTCGAATCCTCTGAGTCGATTAACTGAGGAACAACGGGAAGAGATCAACGAAGCTGTATGACCCCCTTCTTACATCCCCGCAAGAAAAGGGGAAAAAAAGCGCTTAGCAAGGAAGCTAACATAAACGCACTTCTTCCCAACCCAACAGTTCACCCTCTTCGACCTCGACCGCGACCAACATCTAGACTACCATGAACTCCGCGTCGCTTTCCGCGCCCTAGGCTTTACTCTCCCCAAGCAAGAACTCATCTCCCTTCTCACGACTTACGGCGTACCCCGTCCCCAAGTGCAGCAGCAATCCTCAGCCCAGCAACAACAACAGGCCAAAACCGCTCCCGCCACGAATCCCCAGCACCCATCCAATTTGCTCATGCCCCTCTCTGCCTTTCAGGCCGTCACGGCGCTGAAGATCCTGGAGCGCGACCCCAGGGATGAGATTCTGCGAGCGTTCGAGCTCTTCGATGAAGGCGGCAAGGGGTACATCGATCTGGAAGATCTGAGGCGGGTTGCGCGGGAGTTGGGCGAGACAGGCCTCGAGGAAGAGGAACTCAGGGCTATGATTGAGGAGTTTGATCTGGAGGGTGTGGGTGGTGTCACCCGGGAGGCGTTTGTGAGTATATGTTGGCAGTGATTACGTTTCTCTTTCTCCTTTCCTTTCCTTTTCTTTTTTTTTTGTCCCTTCTCTTTTTGTTTATGGTGTAAATTGTTTTTGATTGTGTAATGTTCACCGTTGCGAGATTCTCTTCTACTTGTTGGGCTTGGCTTTGTGGCTCGATCCTGGGGATTGATTAAAACTTGCCCATGTTGTGTACGCGGGCAATAACTTCTTATGCCCTGAGAGTGACGGGATTGTGTGAACTGATAGTATCGTTCTGTACTTTGGTTCTGCATTGTCCGTTTTTCTTTTTCTTTTTCTTGGCAGCATTTCGAATTTGCTGGATGTTTCCCTTGGGCATTGGATGGGCGCCTATCGGTTGTGGGATTCCCCCCTTTGGATGAATTATATACGATTCCATTGACTTGATTTACTGTGTGTTGGTGTCGGACATTGTAATTGAGAAATTGGTGCTATTATAGACTTGTGTCTGTAGATATGCAGTTGCTCCGTCTTCTAATGACGATGGCTCATAAGTGACAGCAATCAATATTTATCGTACTCCCAGCACCAAAGGAGTGCGCGTCTCAATTATACAAGGGCGCCATTAATAGGGCGCCATTAATAGGGCACCATTAATAGGGCACCATTAGTAGGCCAACCCGATAGCAAACATGCAAAGGAAAGAACACCAAAGCCCAAGACCATTGAATACCGAGAGAGGTAGGGGATGGGAAAATAGTATAAAGCAAACAAGACCTATCACCCAAGTCTTCCCTATGGCATGCAGGTGCCGCCACATATTACTATACTTACGCCGGATCCAAAAGAGAACTGAAAGAAAGAATGCCGCCAGGATGCAATGTTCGCAGATTCGTCATGAGAATTCGTGTCAGATGAAGTTTAAATGTATATATAACATATATATACCCAATCAAGCATATCGCGGTGCTTGGTTACCATATGCTGGGGGAGGATATGGCGGCGGAGGGTCTGCAAGCCCCTGATATCCACGCGGCGGCCCATTGGGCCACTGATTCATGGGGATCGGTTGCTGCATAGGACGAGTCCAGGGTCCATATGGACCGGCAGGTGGTGGCATGGGCTTTACAGTCGGTCGTGCCCGACGACAGCGGTTGATCAAGCACCACAGAATTGACAACACAATTAGCCCCCCCACACCACACGCAACGCCAATGACTAGGTTCTTGTGATCGTCAATCCAGCCCTTGACGCTAGAACCGTCGCATTTTCCGTTCTTGCAATGACCACCACCGCTACAAGGGGTGCCGTCCAGGAAGTTCTGGTTGACGCCGTAGCATTGACCAAATGTGTTAGAGGAGCAGACCACTTCACAGGACGAGCCATATGCAGAACAAGCGTACGTCTCGTTGCTATGCAGCAAACTACCCATGACGGACCGACACTGGTAATCTCGACTAGTACACTGTCCACTGGCGCAAGTTAGACCGGCCGAGGAATCACCACATTTCGTTCCATCTTTCTTGAAGGAGTCAGAAGGGCAAGTACTCGAAGTGCCGCTGCATGTTTCTTCCTCATCGCATTCGCCACGGCTGGCTCGACAGACAGTTCCAGCAGATGAGAATTGACATTTTGAACAGCAGCTGTCATTTGCATCATCGCAAACCGCGCCGCTCTTGAACTTGCACGTTTTGGCATCACAGCAGCTATTGTCTCCGCAGGATTCTTCCCCGCCACAGTCGCAGTCTTCCCCCGACTCAACAATGCCATTGCCACATTGATGGCCAGTATAGGTGGTGACCCCCCGGTTGTCGGAAAGGCAACTGGACTTGACGCTGTTGCGACCCAGGGCCGAGCAAATGTTTCCGATTGTACACTTGGAAAACTCTGTGATATCTGTGCCCGTGGTCGGGTTCATAATATACTGCCCCCTTGCATCACAGGACGATGCAGTCAAAGGACAGCACTGCGATGACGCCTCAAGATTTTGCCCACATGTCTGGGTATCACAATCATGAACCGCTCCGAAAGTGTGACCCGATTCATGGGCAAAGATCTGCCATCCGCCACCTGAAGAGCGTACAACGACGTTGGTACCACTGACTGCGTTCGCGGCATCTGATACAACATCTGCATTACACAACTGCCCAAGCCATGCCAATCCAACCTCGCTGCCTGTGGGGCAGTTGCTCATCAGGGTCCAATAAGCATTGGTATCTTTTTGCTGCCCACGCCACTTAGAAAACTTATCCAGTCGAGATGAGATATTCCCCTCGGAACACGGCATGTTCCACTCTGCTGAAGCGGGAGGAGTTTCTGGACAATCCTTTTCGGTGATGGTTAGGTTGCGTAGGCCGATGGAGATATTGAAGGACTTCTCGTAGACATTAGATGCGCTGTTGACAGTATTTATGATCCATTTTTGGGCGGCTTCTTTGTCATCAAACGAACCGGTGAAGCCACAGTCTGTAGCGATACCGATCAACGCGACTTTCTTGGTGTCGGGGCAACCAGACGTATCACCAATGGTCGACTTCAAGCTCACACCACCACTGTTGCCCGACACACCCCCAGTGTCAGATTGCCGCTTGCTAAGTCCGAACAGCGAATTCAGAGACATCGCACCCCATTGACTCATGTCCTCCTCGGCTTGGAGAATCGGGTGACTTGGGTCGGCATTAAAGCTAAGTTTGTCGGCTTGGCACGAGGAGGAAACGGGGAGTGAGCGCTTTAAGTCGGTATGTAGTTCCCGGATCATGTCGGAGTCTCGATAGAAGACCATGTATTCACCTTTCCGGTCTGGGATGCCCACATCTTGCTGACGTTTGTTTTGCAGGTACGTTGATTTCAACTCGACATGATGTTTATCGTCGTGGATGCTGAAGACTCCTTCAAATAGAGGCTGTAGCCCGTCATTTTTCAAGTATATCCGGGCCCATCCTACAGGATCCCACATGCCTTTGCCCCTCCCAACCAACGCACGGCCTTTGAAGACCTTGTGTTCATGTCGCTCGATTGGCTCTTCACGTTGAATGTTTCCATGGCGGTCTAGGTACTGTACATATGCGTCTTCCGCTAGAATATCATGGTTCGGTTCTAATTCTAGTTTTATTCGTTGGTTTTTGTCACGCAGGTTAAATGTGACATCGAAATGAGAAAGGTGATCGACTTGATGCGCGGACGTATGAATCTTAGGATGATCTAGAGTCGACACACGCTGAATAGCATTTGGCTCCTGTGACCGAGCTGTTCAATATTTCAAGGTTAGAAACTGGCATAAGTTGAGCAGTTAGGAAAGGAAAATATATGCAAGCCAACCTTCTATGTGAGCGGCAAGGAGTGAAATTGCACTGGTAGCAAACCAAAGCGATTGTTTAAACAACCTCATAGCCGCTCTTGGTGGCTAACACCCAGGGTATTGATCGAATCCGACCGATAGATAGGCTGTAAGGCAAAGTAGTGCGCGGAAAAGTTCAGAGGTCCCCTTGACTGAGTAACATCAACAGCATCAGGCAACAACAATAAAAGCGAGGCCGCCGTTTCAATGCACCCGACCGAGTTCGATGTAAACAAGGTAACTTGGTTAATTCTGGACGATAGTCGCTCTTCCGCACCTCACGGCAAACGGTACAAGCACGCAATATGCAAGCGAACGATAGGGGGATCCTTCCAGGCAGCGAGCAATCGGTCAACTAGAGACGCCACGGCGAGACGCTTGGCTGGGGCGCAGCAGTCTTGGCGAATGCGCCGATGTGTTGCTGTAGTGAGCGAGATCAACAAACCGAACGAGCGTGGTGAGGTAGACAGAAACGGAAATGAGATGGATAACCAAAAGATATGGAAGGAGGAATAGAGGACGGATAGAGGGGGAAGGGAACGGATTAATTGTGAGAGGTTGTCGTGGAGATCAACCGGCGGAAGATGAGCTGGGACTCGGAAGTCGGATTTAATGTCAACACGATGCGGGAGAAATGAAAGAAAATCGGGGTTCAGCAGACTAGGCTGAGAGTGGGTTAGGGATGGTCCCTTAAGCTGATTAGTGAACGGGATCAATTGGTTGGTCCGCAGCCTCAGGGTTGTGATCGGCGGGGGAATGGAATGGCGCTGAACTGTTCGTGCTGACAGTAGCGTATAAAAGGAGATTTTAAGATTGTCGGAAAGACAGAGGGTATGAAGCAGTTTTCAAGACAGAGTCATTGGATAGCACTTCCCCAAGAGTACCTCGAATGCTATCGCAGAGAAACTTCAACCAGGGACCAAGTGGATCAAAACGTTCCGAGACAGTAAACAATTTTGCCTGGGTCACGTGTTTGGGGAGAAACAGGGCCTAAACTCTAACAGACAACAGCCCTATTCCGACTAAGACAAGAGCCATCATCACTGTCACGATTGATTAGGCATCAAGATTTTGCCAAAAAAAAAAAAAAAAAAAAAAAAAAAAAGGAGAGAGGGAGAAACCCTTAACCATTCTCACTGGTCGGCCCCTGAGACAAGTCATGGAAACTACCAAGATCTACAACCATGGTACAGCTCGCTTTTGCGACCATAAGTGAACATCGCATACTATATCCGTCATCCACTCCGGATCGAGATCGGATTTCATCGATATCTCACTAGTATTAGTCCGGTGCAGAATGATACACTTCATGCGCAGCATGTGCAAAGCGTGGAATCAACGCTCCACAACTCGTACAGGCTACACACGGCATGTCCTCGTCCTCCTCACTTTCCTCCCAGGCATCACCACTGGTTTTATATGCATGTCTATCCAAGCCCACGATTATCTGAGAACTACTGGAAATATCGTTGGATGACAGGCTGGGATCCCTGACGTATTGCGGAGCAGTTTCTGGCGATGACCGCTCCGTCACTGGAACGGGGAAGTCTGATCTGCGTCCCATGTCCTGCCTCTGGAACATCTTCTCGATGTCTCGTCCACTACTCCGCTTACGTTCCCCAGCTACATCCATCATGTTGGTCACGGCGACGTTCAAGAGACGGATATTCCAGCCAGCCTTTTCGGGATGGAGTTTCCGGAACATCAAGGTCACAAGTTCGTGCACCAGTTGTTCCGCCAGCGCGTCAATACTCACATCAAGGCAAAACACATACTGGGGGAGCGGCGCCGAGCGTGAAATACGGTTGAAGCTGGGAGCTTGTGCCTCGTTGGATGTAGGAGGTGGCCGAGGCCTGGTTGACAAACGTAGAGTCCTTGGACGAGCAATCCATCGCAGATTGGGTACTGTTCGAGAAAGTGATCCTTTCGATCGCGATTCTGCTACAGCAGCGACGTCAGGTTCCTCCTCAGTCAGGTCTGCTCGCATTCGACGTATTAAACTAGCAGTTAGAGAGACCAGCTCTCTTCTGACTTCTTCGAAGGTGCTCAGACAACCATAGGAGTCTTCAATGCTAATCTGGGTCGGTATGTCCCGAGCTTGAAGGACCTCTGAATTGTCTACACCATGTATCAGGCCCCATACCTTCGTACCAATGCCTTTGGGGGACCCTGGACCGCCTAGGATCTTATCCAAAAGTACCGGACCCATCCTAGGAAACAAACGAACGTCTCGGACAGTGATTGTATCATCCCTCGCCGTATTAGAAGCAGCCTGGTTTAGATTGGACTGGGGCGGACATCTGAGGTAAGACGTTAATTTTTGAGAAAGTTTAGACCCAATCCCTGGAATTTTTCTTATGTCATGGGCGTCGAGGAAGTTGAGCACACTGCTCTGAGCGCCTTGCTCCGCCGCAGTATAAGGCGGTAGAAGGGTTGTCTGATTGTTGGGCTTATAAGTATTACCCACTAATTTGGCGAGGATTTTCGAGGTCGAAATGCCTACTGTGGCAGTGTAGCCCTTTTGTTCTTCCAGTTGGCCACGTAGGTAGGCTGCCAGATGGGAAGCAACAAGTAGCTTAATATGTAGCGAGTGAGAATCATTTCCCGTCGAAACCGATGGCCAGGCAGAATCTGATGCTACGTTGGGAGCCGCAGGGTAAGTCGAACCATGGAACCCAGTGGCATCAAATGCGAACCCGAGTGTGGGATCCTGACGGTTGAGATGAAAGAACGAGTGTTCTAGATCGTTTCGATTCAAGAGATCCACATTGTAACTAATCATGTCTGTGACATCCAGAAACAACTGTTGTTCTAGTATCAGAGATAAGGCCTCAGAGATCCACAAACCGTGGGGACGCGACAACAACCGAAGAGTGAAATAGGAAACCAACCCACCTCATCAAATCCTAATTTTTCCACTTTCCCGCTCCAGCAGAAGGCACGGAGGAAAAGGTAGAGACTCTTAGACGCATCACGAAATTTTGTTAGATCCTCACCGAGGACAATGACAAGCTCTGGACAAATCTGCCTGGCTTCCTTGATCAGTTGCAGCTTGCGTAATCCCCTTCTGCGAGCCTCGTAGTTACAGGTCACCACGATCTGTTTCTGTTGAACGGCTAAAGGAAGAGTCTTCAACACCGGCTGCTCCACCTCAAAAACTGAAGCATAAAAACAGTCATAGTCCTATAATAAGAGAAACAAATATATTCATGATTAGTACAGAGTAGTCCTGGTCATGACCTGGCTGGTGCTGGGGCTGGACGAACAAAGTGGATTATAATTCGGTGATCATCACGGGGCGGTGGTACCACAGCCATTCAGTCAAACTGTGAGTGACAGAGAAGGGTTTGGTGGTGTGAGTGAGTGAGTGGAAATAATCATCATGCAGGATTCGTGCATGATTGATAGGCGTAATCCAGGAATGTGCTCCATGTGATCCCGGAGACTTGATTGGCTTGAAAGAAATGGCTGGGGGGGTTTGTGGCTGGACTCTTCTTTTTAGGGTGTGCTTGCTCTAGCCAATCCAGGAGATACATTTATCCAGACCTCAAGAAGACTAGTCGCGTCTCAGTGCCCCACTTAGCCTCGTGTTTTAACAGGGATCTTTTTATAGTACCTCAGCATACTCCCGTACCGTCCGGTGACAATACCTGAATGCTATAAATATCCCTTCACTGCCGTTGATTCCCACTCGACTTTAATTATCTGGACAGCGGGTATATATATACTATAAAGAAAGAATCCACCATGATTCAAATCAGACAATCGAACTGGATCGGTTGGATCTTTCCAAATGGATCAGCCGCGCGTTCAGACTCAGATTAGACTACGAAGTACTCCATATGTAATCTTACTTTCCAAAAGAATTGAGGAGAAAGAAGGTTAAAATGATGGTGATAATAATAATAAAACTGTAATAATCATACCACAAAAAAAAAAAAAAAAAGTTAAAAAACATGGTTCTAATCTGTCTACAGCGGCGGATCCTTTCCTTCACCTGTTGATACTGTGAATGGGTCCTGACGAGCAACGATTGCTGATGCGGCGTCAATAGTTCTATTTATTATTAGAAGAGTCGCAACGCTGTGTAGTACTCCAGCATTATTATTTTTTTTTATTATTATGCGCCGGTTTTTTATGATCTCCAATTTTTTGAAATTAGTTCTTTAAATCCGGAAAACTCATTGCAAGCGGTGTTAGAAGGTTTTATTAATTTTTTTCTGTTTAAGCTCTACCTCTTTTTCTTTTCTCATTTTTTTTTTAAAAAATATTCTTATATCCATCTTGAGAAGCTGCCACATGGTCAAAGAAAAAAAAA